CAGAACTGTTGCAATATTATGAATGCTGCCAGCTTATAAATCTCTAGTGCTAATGATGACTTGAGACAAATTTTGTTTGTATAAAGTGAGAGACATAATTCCTGGCTTGCACAACAAACTAAACAACTTCTCCAATAAAATAAAATCAAGGTTGAAAAAAATGAATTTGAAATAGTGCTCAATAGCACAGCCAGCAAAAACAGGGTGAGTGGGTGAGGTGTGTAAGCCACAAAATGATAAGCTGAAGAGTTCCCTGCAATCACAATTTTCATCTGCTACTTTGTAATGGGATGGCACAGATTTTAAACCTTACATCAACAGAGGGTCTAGCTTCATGTGTATTTAAAGTTGCATGAGACCTGCAAAAAAGCAAATAAATTCAGCTGATGATCAGCCTTCTGATAAACACTCTAAAAGGCTATTATTCTTTTTTAGTATATAAACCTTGCTCTAAGTCCAATCTCTTCTCACTAAATCATGTCAGTAGTAGTCCTGCTCAGGGTATAATCCTCTTCTAATGACCTGGCATTTAGAGCAAAATCTGGTAATCTGTTAAAATAGGCCATACAACTGTATGTCTATGGAAATGACTCTAAGCTGAAGAAATTATATTTACCTTTGAAGAGATTCAAACTGGCGATTTGCCGAAACTGCCCTTTCCAGCTTCTCTTTTTCTTCGCTTAATGTACTTCCAATACCTTCATTGAGGAGACAAGACTCTTTATTTCTTTTCCATGCAAAGCTCATTGAATTAAAATCCGGTAATTGTTGAATAACTGAAATTTCATGCCCTCCCTCTTTTTATAAGTCATGAGTCTGCATGTTCTTGACCACTAATTTCCCTCATAATAAGCCATTTTGCCAGTTATTTCATGTTGTATTCAAAAGTTGCAAAAACGAAGGCAAGCTTGGCAAATGTTCTGCTGCATTTAAAATTGCACCGAGGAGACATTGATCTGTGGTATATTTACCCTTGCGGGAATGCAGTATACTTTAAGTATACTTAGAGAAGTATACTTAAAGTACAACACTTTTGGTCACTTAAAAAGTATACTTCAAGCATACTTTATGTGAAGTATACTTCAAGTATACTTTACAAAAAGTATACTTCAAGTATACTTTGTGTATACTCTAAGTATACTTTGCGCACTCTTATTTAAATACACGAGCTGACTAAAAATGCTGTATATGGGATAATGATGCATAATTATACTTACAGCTTTTTGACCATGAAATAATGTAAAAAATCTTTAGCCATGTTGCAAACATGAAGTATTATTTATTGGTTACATGTACCTCTTCCAGGGACTATTTTAGTCAATCTATTAACAACAACAACTGACAGGTGTATGTATCACAGGTTTATTGAAAAACTAAGAATAAAATCCACAATGGCATAAGTATTGCAATACAAACTTATTGATGACCTTGAATGATATACATTATATAATGACAATCTCTTTGATCTATGATATAATTCATAAATTAATGTAATTTCTAGCAAGAAAGTCGTAAGTGCTCAATCGATTAAAATCCTGAGTTAAGTCAACAGTATTCTAAAAATTCCATTCAAAACACTGTTCATTATTAATAAACTGATTACTTATTTTTTTAATTAAAAAAAAAAATTACATTCTCACAATATTATGTAATAATGTAATAAAGGACTTACCTTTACCAGCCTACAGCACTGACCCCAAAAAGCTGACTTCTAACTGCGTACTGCTATATGCTAACTTACTGTCTTTATTTGATGGGCTTTAATTTTTGGCATCTGCTAAAAAGCTTAAAAAAAGGAATATGTATGACCTAAAAAGCTAACATTTACTAACACAGTAATTGACCTAGCTCTCATCAGGTGTAAAGCTAGCCCCTAACCTCTAACTGCTAAATGCTAACTAACATGTCCCTATAGTGTCCATTTGAACTTGGATTGGCCAGTTAAGATGAACTCACTGCCCTTTTCTTCTTGGCATTTGTTTCAAGACAAGTGATCTTGTTCCTCATGGCAATGCGAATAATGCTGTCGCAAACACCTTCAAACTTTTTCCTTGTGTAACCTACAACATGAAGAAAATGTCACTGTCTGAGACCTTTTTTTATCATTTAAACCTAAATCACCATAATCTCAGTTGCAATATTGTTATAAATTACAGTTCTTCCCAATCATATGTTACAATAGGAAGAATGTTATTCAAGCATACATGTATGTTGACCAAGAGTAAAAGCTGTTTAAACTGGCGTGATTACTCACTGTTTTGTGTTAGGGGATCTTTGTGTATTGTTTCCAATTTTGGGGTACATCATTTGTCCTTGGTAACTGCATGGACACAGAGTTCAGATACACAGTCTATCTTTACCCCATAGAAAGTAGAAGTCATATCACACCCCTATCTCCCCACAATGGCCACCTACCTTGGTCAATGGTGGCCACTGTGGAAGGTTTTGACTATATATATATATATATATATATATATATATATCAGGCATGGGTTGCACTTGGCAATTTTTTGCAAGAATTTGTTTAGTTTGCAGCCAAAATCTGTCATCAGCTTGGGGCATTGCCTAGTGCAACCTCAACTTTTATGGTTGGCAAATCCTAGAAAATCAGCAAAAGCAGCAAAGCCGTAGTGCTTTAGTGGGGCGGGCAGATTTTAGAAAACTCGAGCTGAAGAATAGGAGTCACAGTGGTAATTGTCAATGCTTGTCAGAGAATGAAAATTTGACAGAACATTTGTGATATTGCTTCAGTTCACGCTCTTTCTTTACCATGGATGGATGTCAATTTTACAACAATTTTCTCTGGTGATGGGTCGGTAAGACGCAATTGTTGTACTTAACTGTGTTGGTGCCGTGCTAAACGTAGTAATGAAGATCAAACCAGCACTCTACTGGGCAACCTGAACTGACCAGGCATATCGTCATTGAAGTGTTCTTTTTAGATGTCAATAGGTCTTTTGTAACAATTGGTCACGTGACGTGCTTTTCAAGAACTCACTCATTTAGTCATTGGTAATACATAATGTTATCAGAAATGGAAAGAACAGTTAAAAATAAGCTTACATGCAAATTTTCAGGTTTATACGCTAAAAGATGGATTTTTTATGGACGCTAGAAATTAGAAGGATTTGTATGGGAAGAAGACGCCTTGCCCTCCAGTCACGCTCCAGTGGTTTTCCATACAAATCCTTGTAATTTTGCAAGTTTTCAAGCTGCCATAAAATCTTTGCCTTTCGGTTTAATAGCCTAGAAACTTCCATTCTTCCTAATATTTTATCCCTCTTTCTGTGCCTTATAGTTTTATGCCGTCAGCTTCTTTTTGTAGTGAGTAATAACGGAAAAGGTTTCTGGAGGGCAAAGCTTCCTTCCTTCAAAAACAAAAATTGCTCCTTTCTTGATTTGATCAGTTGGCATAACCTTGGGAAACCACGAAACAAATAACGAAAAGTCCACATATGGTTTGTTCTCAGTCACGAAAAGTCGTTGTGAGCCAGGCCCTTGAAGGGTAAGAGTAAAAACTACCACAGGCAATTGCATTAATCTGCAGACGGCCTTGTTACTAATGTACTTCGTTTCAGGGAAGTGTTTACAATAAACAGTTTTAACGTCTATTACACCATAGTGTAAAATGTCATTAGCACAATTCAAAAGTTTTTGACACTCGTGACAATTCCTATGGTTTGCCCCACAGAAAAACAAGCAGAGAGATGTGAACTCAAGAAGTGAAACATCATTTATCAACGACCTGTACAGACCCTCGCCAACTTTGTAGGAATCTTTGTTACTCAAGTTACGTTTTGCGGATGCAGCGTATCTTCTGTATGCATCAAAGTCTACAGAAGGCGCTGCAAAGTCTATAAAAAAGGATCATCTTCAGAAGACTTCTCCGACACTGCACTTTCTTTGGTGGATTTGTCAACAGTACATTCCCCTTTGTCACTTGACCAATTGCCCTCAATATTAAGACTTGTTTCTGTGTTGTGTGGATCTTCTATGGCAACTTTTTGTTTCTTTGTGTCCACACCTTCATTATTACCGTCGGTAGCACCAACAATGGCTACAGGGCCACATGCTTTTCTTTTGAGCATGACATCAATTGTTGCACC